CTTTGGAGACTCTCTCTTACTGTCTACTCAGCTACTGTTGACAAACAGCAGGATAAACTTGGCACCTTCTGTAAGTTGATGCCTAGGTGGAAGAGCTCTGCCGTTTCACCTGTGTACATCCTTAGTCCCATATTCCATTAGGGATTCTTTTATCCTTGCTCTCTCCCCTAGTTCTATCATCTAAAACTATAAAATAGTTTGTTTACCGAATGCACAGCAGAGTGACTTCAGCTATAAAAAAAGAGCATTATTACACTTGCCTGCAGATGTGTACAGGATAAACTGAATACATAGGGTGAATTCATCTTACAGTGACTTGGTCCACAGAAAGAGCACCAGGATGCCTGCAGCAGAATAGGACACTCTGGGTTCCTCTTTTATTTTGCAAGCCAGTGTCACATCATTCACCATGTGGAACTCTTTCCCAGGGCCAAATTACATGACTATGGGACAGTGATTGACCTTCCGTTTGCCCCAAGAGAAAACTTAAAATGTTGCCATGAGCAGCTAGCAGACAGAGGGATGCTGACAAAGACACCAGAAGGATGGCTTCCAGTATAAGTGGTGAAGAAATGTCAAAACGAAAATCACTCTGCTTCATTAGATTTCTTCACATTGAGTCTAGTCATGAGGCAAGAAATCAACAAAGGTTCAAAAAGAATAGGTGGTATTATTTCTTCATTAAGTAATTGGAGTTCACTTGGTGATATGAATTCCCAAAAGGAGTGTGGTAAAGACTTGTCTTGTTAAAACTCACTGTGGAGTTTCATTTCACATTGTACATTGCCACTGTTATGTCATTCATCTGTTCACAAAAACCATGCAAACTCATTTTTAGATTTCAGCTCAATGCTGATATGGATGAGTTCGATTACCACAAATCTGTGCTCTCTCAAGCTTAATTATCTAGCAAGACAGAGCGGTTTCTACCACTCATCCCTTCAAACAGTGTCACCAAATGCTCCCACTAACAACAGCATAATAGTGCGTCTGTCCCGATTTCAGGACTCCAGTGACAGTACCAGATACCACTTGTACTAGTCCTAGAGTGCAGTTATACCATGCCTTTCTACCTTGTTACAAAGCAGTGGAGTGAGTGCCAGACAACTGTATGTTACTAAGATTCTTGCAACAGCATCATGAAGGAAAGAGTTATTGTAGAGAAAGGTACAATTTAAGACAGTCCACTTTGGCACCGAACATACGAACAGCCAAATCCTATGCCAAATTACTGTCTGCATACTAAAAGAAGAATTCCAAAAACCTCCTAGAAAGTTGTAAATCGGGCATTAGTTTTACCTAGCATGCACAGGTAATCTTAAATTTGTGTTCTGTTTTTAGATTGGAGAGATAATGTTGATGGAAAGTATCATTAGGTGGGTCAGTTCAAACATTTTTTTCATATTTTACTGCCTGGGACCAGATTCATGAAGACATGCCTGCTCCTTTATGACCACATGGTAGTAAGCTTTGGCACCAATGGGATCTCATTGCTAATAGCAATATGAGAGAGTTGTGGAAAGGATGCTGAGAAAGAGCATCATTGAGCCAGGAATAAGATATGTCAGTAAGACCCTATGGATCTATCAAGAGAAACCCCAGTTATCAAATGGATTGTGAACTCACTCAAATACTTACAAACAAAAAGGCTGATATTAATTAAAGTAACACATCCCTAGGAGGAATAAATAAAAGAAGATTATTTGAAACAAGATACTTCTACTTAGGCCCAACTGATTATGGCTATATTATTGCCATACTGTCCAACTTTTTAAATGAAGCCTGAAATTAAGTTTGTATGAGTAATTTAATTTTTAAATAGAACTAATTCAATTAAAAAAATTTTCCCACTGCAGATCAAGTACAGTACCTGGTGTTTACAGCCTCTGGTGGGTTCTTTTTCACCAAGACAGGCAGCCAGCTCAGCAAAGCCCTCCCATCTGAGACAAATGACTTTCCTAAGACAGTCTATTAGCTATCATGGTCTCAGCCTACAAATCTCAGATTCTTCCCAATTGGCAGAATACTATCGGTAGTCAGTGCTGCTACTTGCTAGAAACATCGGTGGCTGTGACTCTTACAGAATAAGCATGCCGAGACTTAACAGGAGTAGCCATTTTTTCTTCCATTGCATGTTTTCACATTAACTAGAAATGTTTTTTAAAAAAATAAAACATACAAGCCAAAGCTACTCCAACTTTACAAAGATGTATCTTTGATACAATTTGCCTTCCAGCAGTCTGTCTTATTATACAGTTTCAAAAATCAAGAAGAGTGGTTCCAGTTTTATTATTAACTATGAAGAGCCAGTTTTAATAGAATAGAAAATTATAGGCGAGTTGGGACTATTGGTTAGTGGCAGCAGGCTTGCCGAGCGTCCGTGAGACCATAGCAACAATAACAACAAAACTACAAGATCAAAGGAGGAAAAATTACAAGCAGAGAAGACATAGGGGAAAAGGAATAAATGCCAGAGATTCTTCTCAGTAAAAGAGTCACTTGGCTTTAACACTCATACAAATAATACATACAAAATAAAGACATTATTTGGCTCAAGATTACATCAAGATTAATAAACTCAATGTTGGGGGTTTAGTATAGCTGTCTTTGTGTTAATTTCTCAAAAATCCACTATTTTCCTTGTTCAGATTGGTCATGGGTGTATATATATATATATACTGCCCATGTGTACCTGGAAGAATTGATGCTTCCTCTTCAAGTTCCTAAGTTTAAAATCCAGTTGTTTCAGAATTAAATAAAAACCTGCACAATGGCTTTGAGGATTCAATGAGAGCCTCTTACCTTAGAAAATTTGCATTCTATTCATCAAAATAATAAATAAGTATAAAACAAAGCTAGAATTAATTGAAGAAACATGAGTATTAGCCCATGTGAAAGGGTTAGGATGAACATAGAATCCTTTTTGTCAAGCCCTAAATCGTTAAGGTAACACATCTATATATTCCTGATAGCAAGAACTACTCACAGAAGACTGACAGACCAATTTATAAGACAGAAAATAAGTAAAAACTTCTGTAAGAGTATCTGCACAACCACTGTCTATTAAACCTCTTTATATGCCACTTTTGGTATTACACTTCGTATGCAGAATTTAAACCATTTTATCTTTGAAAACTTCACTTACCTTGAAATAGTGTGTAACTGACTGTGGTATGCATTTTGCTGTTGCAATACTACGTTATCCCCATGGAAACAATATTTAGGGGATCTCTCACTGTCTGAAACATGTGTTATCTAGTAGAACCTGAAATAAATTCTCCTTAAAAGACAACTGGCAACTTCTAGACTATGCTATAGTTCCAACATTGAGCCTTCTGTACCTTCCGTTTCCCTGGCTTAATTTATTTCTGCCTGTTCTCAAGTCAAGTCTGTTTGTTTGTTTGTTTGTTTGTTTGTTTTGTTTTAATACACTCCCTGCCAGCTTTGTGGTAAGATGTGGATAATGATACCTTTAAAAGGGCCTTGCCTCCAGAATCTATCTCCACGTTCAGAGCATTAAGACTTTCTTGAAATATTTTTAGTAGAAATTTACAAGAGATGTTAACTGTCAAGTGGTGTATCTTTTGACCTTCCCCTGCTTTAAACTCCATTTGGCTGGTGACTCTTTTTAACCAGCTGCTCTGAAGAACATTATCCTTCAGTTCTCGCTCTTCCAAAGGGGCCAGATGTTTAAAATACTTGCCTTAAAGATCTGGAATAACTCTGTTTATTCTTGGTTTTTCTTCATGTACGTGAATTGCTACATAAAACCAAACATCTCATCTGCTTTTACCATTTTTAAGTAATGCATTCCTTTGCTCAGATTTTCTTGGCATTCTATATGATGTACTTGCATAATCTGTGGCATATACTCTTCTAGTATCTATTTATAAAAGGACCTTTCCATTAGGTTGACATCCAGGTTTAAAATTCTATTTCCATAAAGACATATTTTTTCTTTTCCTTTTGGTAACTGGCCTAGGAAACAAAGATTTTTGTTTTCTGTCTATACTTTTGTGCTGTGAGTGGACCTGTCACATCCTGACATGACCACTGATTGAGTACAAGTCTAGCTTGGTTTGCCTATGTAATCCCAAGGGGCTTCTACATCTTAGATTCCTATATGGCAACTCACTTTTCTTGTACTTCCGTAAACAAGACGAACCTGATACAGCCCAACTTGCAAATAAACTGGGTTTATGTGTGTTAAAATTCTGTATGACTAAAACAAAAACATTTTGTGACTACATATTTTTTAATTTTCATTTTATTATTACATGTGTGTATACATGCATTTCTGCCATGGTGTGCAAGCAGAGGTTTGAGGACAACTTTGGCCATCTGGTTCTCTGGTTCCACCATGGCTTCTGGGTACCAAACTCAAGGCTCAGGCTTGCATCAGTATCTGGCATCTGTTTTCATCTGCTGAGCTAGATCACTCACCACATAAAGATGCTATTAGATTGGCTGTTCCTTATTGTCAATTCTTAAAAATATCTTTAGATTAGATATCTTAAATCCTTCAAAGTTACTATAATCTTTCTCCCACAGAATTTGCATTTTCTAAACCTTTGTAAACTGAAGCTGAATAATATAAATCTCACCAGAACTCACCCACGTGAGCCCTCTCATCTTAGACTTCTAGCCAGCGGAACTGACACAAATAAACTTGCTTATAAGCTTCCTACTACAGGGCAATTTGTACTAGAAGCCCCAATGTAGACAAAAGCCACAGGGCAATGTGTACAATGTAAATTAAAACTACACACCCGTCAGAGCAGCTTAAAATTTAAAAAATAACAAATCCAAATGTTCATTAGCATGCAAATAAAATTTCTTTCATGTACTGTTAGTGAAAATGTAAGATAGTATGAGCACCCTAACAAAATTCATTTAGTTTGTTTTTTGAAGTTAAACATATACTTAACATATGACCCATCAGCCAAACTTGTAGGCATTTTTCCCAGGAAAAAATGAAAATTCATACATATTTAAAAATGTTTATAACTATTCATAGAAATTTTATTTATAACAATTCCCAAATTAGACATATCAAAATATCCTTCAATAAGCAAACAGCTATACAAAGTATAGTGCATCAAGACCGCTTAGCAGTAAACATATACAATGACTTGAACAGCTCATCAGGATATTACTGAGTGAAAACCAAAATGAAACAACAAAAAATTTTCAAAGGTTATTTCTTTACATGCTCCCATTTATAGAACATTCTCAGAAGAGTTGGTTAAGGTGGCAGTCTGGAAGAGGATATTGTACCTGGATGAGTATGTGACAGAATCAAGATCTTTGAGGTACCGAAGCAGTTCTATATACCGCCTACAGCAATTACATGAATCTGCACACATGATAAAAGACCATGGAGCTACATATATACTATAGCAATTACCAAATTCCTGTTTTTGATATGTTAGATATAATCACTGAAGAACTGGTGTAGAGTATATGTTTATATTAGCTTTGCAACTTCATACACAATCTGTAATTATCTCAGAAAAAAAATTTAGAGCTAAATACTGAATAATATACAATAAGCTTCTAAAAGACTGCTGTGGGGAAATGTTTTATCTACTAAATCCCATGATTTGAAGAAAGCAGGTAGTTTGTTTCAGAACTTGTTTATGGTTTATAGAGAGAAACAGGTTTATAAAAACTGGCTAATACTTACAATCTTCTAGTTGAGAAAGTTTACTGTTACTATTAGTGCAAAACAAAATCAGACAGAAATGCTTTCTGAATCTGTCAAATATTAACATATTTAAAATGTTCTAGATTTTAATGTATACTACTTTCTCTCAAAAATTAAATTCACTGCAAAATTCCGGCTTAAATCCACAGACATAAGCTCAAGTCTAAGGGGTATATCTCTTCAAGCTATTCAATAGAGTATGATTTCATTTTTTATATACAAAGCACAATAGCAGAAAGAAAACTGAGAAGCCATTTAAAATGAATAAAACATAATTCCTAAAAGTGCACACATTGCTCATATAATTAATGTTTTAATAATCCACAATATAAACTGATTCACATAAAAATGCCTTAATGATGTGTTGTCATTTAAATTAACACATCATATAATTCTTAAACATCTGTTGACTTCTAACCTCTGCTCTTCTTCAGAATTACCTGTAAGAGAGGAAATGCAGATACATATTATACCTATAGAAAATAAATCATAATCGCTGAGCTACAATGTAAGTGGCCTAGAGTTCTAGGTTACATCTCTCAGTGAAGGTGAACCAGCCCTACATTATCAGACCTGGTTTAGAGTCAATCTCATTTATTAACCTTGCCCATTATACTCAAAGTATCAAAACTGTTGATTTCAAACTAGGCTCTGGGTTTTGGGTCTTCCCCCACAAAACAAATTAATGATCTAGGGTATTAAAAAATGTTCTTAAAAAAACAAAACCCATAAAGCAGTATCAAGTAGTATAAAACCATTACAATTAAGCTGGAATTATATCAGCTAGAGGTCAAGACTAGTCATCTTCCACTGAGTAAGTTGTTTCATATACAATTTTCAAAACATATGGGAAATATTTAGCTGTAAAAATGCTAGGATGAGGCCTAAATTATCTCCAGAAAATAAATAAAAATAAATCTTTACAAGAATGTAGCAACTATAGTTTAAAAAGAAAAATGGCCTCAGGCTCTGTGTGTATAGACACTAAGTCTAAGTCGAACAACCTGAGGCCGACCCCACACGGCAGAATGACCAACTGCCAAAAGTTGCCCTGACCTCCATAGGTATGGCTATGACAAGTGAACACATGTACATGTGTACATACACAAATACACACAGACATATATGCATACACATGGACACATAATAAAGGCAATAAAATTTTTTAAAAAAGGTTTAAATTTAAAACAAATATACTTTTCATGTTCTTAATCACTGCATTATTTCCACAAAAATGCTTGCTTGAACTTTAATAGTTGTGGTGTTTGTCACTGAAGGGAATTTAAAAGTTTCATAATACTTGCTGGGACATAGACAATGCCTTGGTTATCACAAGTTCATCTGTAACCCAGGCTAGCACTGCTCTGTGCAAAGTAATATTAATATGGGAGCTATAAAATCACCTGCTTAGCAAGTTTACAAAATGCTGAACATGGGTATTTTTTCTAAAACGTTGTTAAACAAAACTCAACACTCTCCCTTAGTGCTGCATTTCTCGTAATCGTTCCTAACTTTATCTAACTATGGTTCACCTCTCCTTAAACTAAGTTAGACTATAGGCATCTCAAATTAAAATTCTTTAAAAAGTATTTGAATCAGACAAAGATGATAGCCATGGTAGTATTTTTGAAGTTAACTTTCTTAAAAGAATTTGTGTTTTACCTTTGCTGCAGTCAGTACATGATCCTTTTTGATAACTCTAGATTTATTTTCACAAGCATTTGTCCTGGACTCTTCTGCCAATCGATGTACAAAGAGCAAGCAATTCAAATGAATCTTTAAAAGCAAAACACATGTATTATTAAATAATATATAAATTAATATATATGTATATGAACCCCTACTAACATATATTTGCTATACACAATGTAAGTGAAGTGTCTTTAGGAAATTACTCGGAGATCCCTCATCCACAGCTTCTTCCACGTGTGTGAGGGCACGGCTCACAGACAGCTGCAAAGCGTCTTTCACAATTGTATTTCTTTTATTATTTGCATGAGCTATCCAGTAACCCAAACAGTAACTTGACCCAGAAGATTCAGGACACTGTGCTGACCACAAAGAAGACAAAGGGCTCCAGATTCTAGTTCCCGGACTACTGGAACAATCACGACATATTATGCTGGGAGACAACATCAACAATGAATTAACACTGGGAATAGTGTTAGCATCTCAGCAACTGAATGGCATGGTACTCAGGAAAAAGAATAAAACTGCTTTAGATGGAACGAACTTTATGGATGATGGAGAGCAGAAAAATGTAAGCAGCGAAACGAAATCAATTAACAAAAGATTAAACAGAAACTGTTTAACACAAGTCACTGAAGACAAAAATATCACCTGGGAGCAACAAATGGCCAAAGGAACTTCCCTTCTCCCACCGCTGTGAAGATTTGCTTTTCAACTCTGCTTTCTTTCCCCTGACACCTAGATTGTTTCACCACAGAGTCCACATAGCCAACCACAGGTCACTCTAGGACAGAAAAAGTGGTTTTGGACTAACACTGACTACTTGAGAAAGGTCTGCCAACCCTTCACATTAGCAAGTGGTCTCCTGGATATTCCTAGTCAGCATCAGCAAAAACAGAATAAACAATGGAAAGTGTATTCCAAGGGAAGCCTAGCTCACTTATGCTATTTTAACCCCACGAAAGAATTAGGAGTGTGGGGGGGGGGGATAATGCCTTTTCTAAAGGAATATGAGAAAGGAAAATACAACAGTAGAAGTATTTATTATCCCCCCCACCACCGCTTTAAGGGCTGGGGAGGGGCTGTATTTTGACTCTAGAGATCAAGAAAGAGAAAAGTAGACAATTTTATAATAGTCTAGAAGAAGTATTGGAGACATGGCTCAGTGGTTAAGAGCATTTGCTGCTCTTCTGGCATATCTGAGTTCTTAGGATCAACTGCCAGGCGGTCCAAAACCACCTGCAACTCAACATACAAGGGATCTAACTTCTTTTGGTTTCTGCAGGCACCCCACACATATGACCTTCCCTCACAAATATACATGAATAAAAGTAATTTTAAATAAATGTTAAAGTGAGGGTGGCCCACAGCTTTAATCCCGGGCACTGAGAAGGAAAGCCATGTGAATCTCTGAGTTCCAGGCCAGCCTGGTCTACACTGTGAGTTCCAGGCCAGCCAGTGCTAGAATGTGAAGTTCCATCTCAAAGAAAACAGAAACCCTACAGGAAGCCAACAGTTGGAAAAACAGAGGAAAATAAATCCAATTCCGCACCTTCATTTGGTTTTCGGAACAGAGGAAAAAGCAGTGCCTTTGTGGTTCTAGCCGGGGACACAATGCTCGCAAACTGAATTCATTTCGAGGCAGAAACACACGGTCGCTTGACTGGGGCCAATTACTGGAAAGCATTTTATTTCAGCTAAGTACGAGTCTGATAAACAGTCTTGAAACGTTAAAAACATGAGGAGTGCTCTATCATCTGCCTAGGAAAATGAATGCCCAGCTACGGGATCACTTGTGAATCACAGGCCTTTAGGAAGGGACCCAGTGCAGGAGCGACAGTGACATGTATTCAGTGCCATCATAAAGGAGCTAGGGGAGGCAGGAGGCCAAATCTGATAGAATAAATATATATATATATATATATATATATATATATATATATATATATATCCCTCTCAAGTAAACGAAGCGCGATGCCAGACAGTTCTGCACCTCTCTATTCCTGGAAGCAATAAGAGGCAGGGCTCCCACCGAGGGGTCCGAATTCTGTCTGGTTGACAGCCTTCCCTTAAAAAGCTCCGGGTCTTCCTTGGTCCCCGGGGTCCAGGCAGCTAACCAAGCTACCCAGGCTGCAGCGCCGCCCGCCACAGCTACTGAGCCTGCAGAGACGCGAGCCGGGCCGGGCCGTGTCCCAGGCGGGGCTCCTCAGCGCCAGAGCCGGACTCACCAGGAGGTCGCAGGCGGTCTCCAGGCGGAGGTGCGGCTTCTTCTGCTTGAAGGTGCGCCGGAGGAAGGCGCGGGGCGCCTTGCGCTTGATCCGCTTCGAGACCACGGTGGAGACCGCCATCCTCGCGGCGGGTCGCACTCGCCGCAGTCCCGGCCCCCGCGGCGGCGGGCCGGCTCACCTGACGAGGAACACAGGAGAAAGCGTCACCCGGGATGACACCGCTACTTCTCTCTCCAGGTCCCCAGGCCGGCCCCCGGTTTGAATCGGGCGCCACTCAGCGCGCTGGCGCACGGCAGTGACGTCACCAGCAAGCCCCACCCGCGCCGCCGGAAGCGCGGGCTGGAGGGAATCCCCGGCAGGCAGGGGAAGGGTGTGAGAGTCCTGCTCGTCCATGCTTGCAAGGGCTCAGACTTGCTTGGCCTTCTTGCTGTTGAAGAGCTGGAGTTCCTCTCTTGGTATCATAGGAAGGATGGGGAATTGGGTCATTAGTTGACATGTCCAGCAAGAGCTTTATCCAAGCTCTCAATTTAGCAACTGGATTCCAATGGACTAGAAAGTAGATGAAAGAAGCTAGTGTTTTCTCAAGATTCCTTAAGATCTGATGCCTGCCGGGCGTTGGTGGCACACGCCTTTAATCCCAGCACTCGGGAGGCAGAGGCAGGCGGATCTCTGTGAGTTCGAGGCCAGGCTAGACCAACAGCCTCCAAAACAGAGAAACCCTGTCTCGTTAAAAAAAAAAAAAAGAGATCTGATGCCTGCCTCACTCGCAAGGCCTGATTTTCTGATGTTTAACAGCAAGTGACTTACACTTTTACCTAATTGCATTTGGTTTTGCATGAGATTTTGTTTTGATCACATTACGTTTTCTTCACAAATGTCTGCCCCTTGAAACTCCGAAGGAAGCTTAAGGTCCCTATAACTTTAAAATATGTTTTATTTTTCCTTTATTGAAAAAGTATTTTACAATATATATTCTGATTACAATTTCCCCTCCTCCAGCTCCTCCAACCACCCCCCCACCTACCTATGCAAACCCACCCTTTTTCTGTCTCTCCTTAGAAAATAAACAGGAATCTAAAGAATAGTAATAAAATAAAAAAGAATCAGAAGAGGACAAAACAAACAGAAGAAAAAGAGCCAAAGAAAAGCACAAAAAAGGCATATAGATACAAATATACTCAAATTACAACATACAGAAATCCCATAAAAGCAGAAGTGAAAAAAATATATATGCTAAGAACCAGTAAGGTTAGTTTTTCTGTTTTTGAATACCCTGACAAAACATTATGAGACAAAGAACCGTTGAGTTCTTGTGCTGTGATCTACTACTGGATCTGGGGCCTGCCCTTACTAGTGTTTTTGTATCCCGATGGAAACACTGCTTAGAGAAAACTAATTTTCTCATTTGCAAGTGATTATCATTTGGAAATAGCTTCTAGGTTAGGGATGGGGAGTTGTGACCACTTCTCCTCTCAGTGCTGGTACTCCATCCATCTCTGTGCATTCGCGCTGTGCGTCGAAAGCCCTATTTCCCTGTTGTCCTCCATCCCCTCTGACTTGTAAAATTTCTGTTTCCTTTTCCTTGAGATTTCCTGGAAAGGGAAGGATTTGATGGAGACATCCCATTTTAGGACTGAGTGTTCCAAGATCTCTCACTCTCTGCACATTGTTTGGCTGTGGATCTCCGTATTTGTTCCCGTCTGCTGTAGGAGGAAGCTTCTCTGATGATGGCTGAGCAAAGCACTGATCTATAAGTGTAGCAGATGTCATTAGGAGTTACTTTATGGCTATGTTCCTTTAGCAAAACAGTAGTATTTGGTTTTCCTTTAGGTCCCTGACCTTTCTGGTCTTGGGTTCTTTGCCACCCAGGCAATGTTGGGGATGGGTCATAGCTCACAGAGTGGGCCTTAATTCTGCTCAGATATTGGTTGGTGACTCCCACAAGCTTTGTCATCATTACACTAGCACGGCTTGCAGGCAGATCATCCTTGTAGACTGGAGTTTACAGCTGGATTAATGTTACCTTTCTTCTTAGGTAGGATCCAAAGTATCCTCCAGTACTGTGAACACTAGTCTGCAGAGATGAAGGCTCTAGTGAGGCCCCAGCTCAACTTCTCATGTTTAATGAATTGTGTAGGTGCTGTCTTCAGCAATAGTGCTTACCATCAGTTTGTGGAGAGCAACCAATAGCCTTGGCAATAGCCTGGGTTGTTTGGGAGTTCCCATGGTATGTCTTTGGCCAGCACCTGATTAGATGTAACCCATTCCCAGAACTGGAGGTGTCATTTGATGATGAGAGATGTTCAGTTGGGTTTAGTCTCTCCTGTTCTTTGAGGATTACTTTCAGATCATCTTCATATATGTGTGTATTAGGAAGCTTCTGCTTTATTTGGTTTCCATACAGCCTCTTAAATGGCCCTTAGTTTTACCTGTCCCTCCCTAGATCCACTTTTTCTTTGCTGACTCTATTCTTGTTTAATGGATCTTAGCCATTCTGACATATTAAAAGCAAGAGATCTAAGTGCTTTCAGACAATACTAGAGAAACCATAATTGTTAAACATGCATGCCTTTTTCAATGGAAGAAATTGACACCTGTTAACCTGTTTGAGTGGATATTATTTAATAACCTGGGCATCTTTTTGCTACTCCATGGAACCAATCTTCACTGGATCCCCCAGACTGCAGAGCACTGTCAATAAAAACCATCCTCATGAAAGAGGTTCCATGTACTTTGCAAAAGAGTTTGATATTCTGGTAATTGCAAACCCCTCCTTCCTAGGCCCTTGTCCTGAGCACAGTTTCTCAATCAATAGAACTCATTCTTGGGGAAAAGGTCACATTGCAAAAGATATGTATTTTGCAAAGGAGTTTTGATGTAGCTATGTCTAATGCTTTGATGTGATAACTGTCATGTGAAAACTTTTCTCTAAAAATTTCCCATGTTAAAATATATGAATTGATAAATCACTTGGCATCAGATTCTAAGCAGCTAAGTCATACTAAACAAAGTTCTCATTCTTGCCTCTGTGTGGGTCATTTTACTGATGGCCATGACACTTTCAGGGATTGCATACTGACAGGTATAAAAAGAAATCTCAAAGTAGTTTTGATTTTCATTTCCCTTATGGCTAAGGATGTTGAACATTTCTTTAAGTACTTTTCAGCTATTCATGTTTCCTCTTTTGAGAATTCTCTGGTTAAATCTGTACCAGATTTTTAAATTGGATTATTTGTTTTCTTGATGTCCAGTTTTTAGTTATTTATAGTTTTTGTATATTTCTCTACATCAGGTGTGTCTTTTGAAAACACTTGGCTCTAATTTCAACAATTGAACTTTAAAGAAAAAGTGGAGGCAATTGGCTAAAATAATTGTTGACACTATTTTCCCATTTTCTTTTGAAACTATAAAAATCAGTCTCCTGTGTTTTTTTCTCTTGTGAAAAACTACTTTTAGTAAAACAACCAATTGCTAATTCTCAGAACTTGCTTACTTGGTCAACCAGAAATGATTATTAGGTTTTATGATTATTTCCTTCAAGAAAACATTTCTCTTAATTAAATAGAGTTCTCTGTTGGTTTTATTCTTACGTAAGTCTCTCCCTGTATCCATTTCTGTTTCCTCTTTATCTTTATCTCCAAATCTTATGAAATCCAAATCGCAATCCACACAATTATGTGTTTTTTGTATGTCATCACATCCAGGATAACTTTAAAATGAATCTGCTGATTTTCTCCTCTGAACTTAAGGCATCTATTCTCAGTTCACAGGACATTTAGTCCTCTAAAAGTTCTTTGATGTCACATGACCAAAATTAGGTCTTGATCTCTCCCTACACTCCAGCCCTGACCTCCCCACCCTCTTTCCCATCACAGATGATGACACTCCCATCTTCGCGCAAAATCTTATGATCTGATTTACCTCATTTTCTTATCACATTTTACATTCGATTCCTTCAAACGATCAGCCCTACTAACACTAGCAGACTACTCTTTCCACTTCTCCTGCTACCAGTTTTGGCCATATCACTTTCATGAATAATCTAGATTATTATACCACCCCCAAGGCTGTGCCTCAACACAAAAAGATGACAGTTAAGTTTTATTACATCATTCTTTCTCACAATCTCTTTCCTTAGCTTCAAAGGGAAAAAGAGAAATTAAGTTTCTAGATTGATTTATCTCAACCACGAAATCATAAGAAATATTATAACAAAAACAAAGAGCAATTTACCAAGTTACAAAATAGATTTGTGAATGAAGAGATTTAATGCTAATTAAATATTAAATTAATATTTTTTCACATTGAAGGAATAGATTTTGTCAATGTTAGCATAGCAAAAAAATAGGGGTGAGGAAAAGTAACTTATTTTGAACAACTTTTAAATAGCTACTATTTTTGTATTATTGGAGGCATTAGGTTGGTGATGATTTAGTTCTTCATTCTTTAAGCTGTAGGTGATTGATTGGTACAAGGCTATCAAGAGTGAATTATCAGTAATCAATAAGTCATCTGAAGTCCTAGGACTACAAACTTGGAATATGGGATCTTGATATCGTGCTTTGTTGTTGCTGCTGTTATTTTTAGCTTGGAATATTGCCAAAGGATTTATCATTTACAGCCTACAATTTCGTATAAAGCAGCACAAAGTAAAACCACCATCGTAAAAAACACTATTTCAGCTTTAGAAAATGAGATGCCTATTTTGGACTTTTAACACAACATTTTTTACATGAAGGTTAAAGACTGGGAATCTGTCTGTGAAGGAAAATACTACCAGTCAAATATGATTTCTAGGGTTCACAGAGAAGTTCTGTTCTTGTCCTCTAAGCAGGCTGCAGCTGTCTTAACTTCTACTTCCACATCTGTGAGGCCAAATACGTCCAAATGAGTACACTTAAGGGCTGGAGAGATGACTCAGAGGCTAAGAGCACTGGCTGCTCTTCCAGAGATTCTGAGTTCAATTCCCAGCACCCACATGGTGGTTCACCCCAAATACATACACTTAATACTTATAATATCTCCCTGATATTATTTCTCACAGCTGAACAAACTGTTCCTCTCCACCTATGTTAGATTCCTTGATATCTGATACTTTAAAAGCTAATAACTCTCCAAAATTAATCACTGAAACCTGATCCTCATGATATGGGAAAAAGTGATAAACATGTAAATAGTGGTGTGCACCTACAAGTCTGGGAGGAAAGATTTTAAAAATGCACTCCTTTTAAAGTAATGGAAATATGAATAGTCCTGAAAATTATTTTCAGTCCTGCCCACATT